CGGGACCAAACCTCCACGATAGGATCGCTGCCTCGGCAGCAAAGCCGGGACTGGTGGATGCGGGGAGCTGGGTTTTCCTCTTGCTCTGGGCTTGCTCGGCTGGTTAGGGGAGGTAGGGGAAAGTGTGTGCCCCACGGGGGTGAGCCATGATGGGAACGGTGGCTGAGAGCCCACGTAGAGCGCTGAAAACCCTCCAGGATCCTCCTGCATCTGTGGGCGAGGACCCAAGGATGGACAGCCGTTGACTCTTCCCTTCCCCAGGTACGACTCCCTGACGGGGGTCCCGTCCCACCAGCGAGCGCTGGCCTTCGAGAAGGGCAGCGTGCTCTTCAACATCGGAGCCCTGCACACCCAGATTGGAGCGCGGCAGGACCGTGCATCCCTACCAGGGCTCAATCAGGCCATTGATGCCTTTCAGAAGGCGGCTGGTATGTGGGTTCCCCCCTTCCCCGGCTCCCCAGGAGCATGCAGGCAGCATTTCCCTGGGGTGGGAATAATCCACATGAGTGCAAGAAGAGGCAAGAGCAGTCGTGCAAAGAGGGATGGGGACAGGGCATCTTCAAGGGACCACAAACCAAGCACAAGTTGGCACCACGCTGCTTCTGTGGGTTATGAAGAGGAGCTGGGATGACCCAGCAACCACCCAAAGGGCTCTCTTTTGCCGCACAGCAGTAGGGATGTCCCAGCTGGGGAGAGGAGAGATGCTGATCTGTCTACGAGCAGCTGGGGAAAAAAGGGACCCTGGGACTGTGGTCACCCAGGGCTTTGGAGAAGAAAGCTGTGGGCACAAGGATGGTTTAGACAGCAAGGGAGGGACTCCCGACCTTTTTACCTGCCAATTGTGGTGAGATGTTTGATGTGCGAGCTGGGTTGCCAGCTCTTCTCCTCCTGTCCTGCCGGTGGGGAAACCTTCATGGTCCAAAAGTCTGACCCTCCTGCTTACAAGCCCGGTGGCTACCAGGAGCTTCTCCCACGTGCAGGTGCCTTTAACTACTTGAAGGAAAACTTCTCCAACGCTCCCAGCCTGGATATGAGCGCTGCCTCCTTGAACATGCTGGTGCGGCTGATGGTCGCCCAGGTCCAGGAGTGCGTCTTTGAGAAGATGACCTTGCTGCGTGCCCAGCACGACTTCCTCACCCGGCTGCAGCTCGCCCAGGAGGCGGCAAGGGTGAGCACCTCAGGGAGGAGAGGACTTGGTGGGGCTGTCACCACTGGAGAGGCTCCTTCTGTGGTCAGCAGAATCCCCCAGGAGAAGACAGCCTGCTGTCACTGTCTCCTGATGGATGTCCTACATCTCAACCTATGGCTTAGCAGCTTGTCTCTTGACGCTCCACAGGTAGAAGACGTCTACTCGCTGGTGCACCAGACGATGACCCAAGCCCACGTGAAGGATTACGTTCCCTTCTCTTGGACCACCATGGTCCACGTCAAGTCGGAGCATTTCAAAGCCCTGTCCCACTACTTTGCTGCCATTGCTCTCTGCGACTGCCCCGGTGAGTGTTACAGCTTTGCCTGCCCAGCCAAATGCTGGCTCCACGTGGTAGCCTGGTGTTTGGGAGGGACTGCAAAAAAAGAGGTGAAAGGAGATATGCACAGGGTAGATGGATACAAAACCTAAAGTTTTTGGGATGCTCTGAGCTGTTGGTCTTGTTTATTGACTCAGTAATTCATGCACAGCGCAGATTTCCTCCATGTTTCTGGTTTGCTCAGTGCTTGCAAAGTCCTTCCCAGAAGGTGAGCAAAAAGGTGCTGTAGGGGTGTCACCTGCTGTCCCCTTTGGGGCTGGGTGGGTAAATGGGGGGCTCAGCTGCCTGCTGACCACACGTGTGCTGGTGTCCTGGGCCGGGCGTTCTCCAGAGGCACCCTGGTCCTTGTGGCAGGCCAGCTGAGGGCTTCAAAAAATAAAAAGAAAACCAAAAAAACCGCAGGATATCCCTGGACAAACTGGTCTGGGCTACTCAAATTTAACTGCCAGCCTCGTGGCCAGCTGCCCTGGTAGGGTGCTGGCAGCAGGGTACGTGTGGCTGTGCCAGAGCTGGGCTGACGTGGCTCTGTGGAGCCAGCTGGAGCGTGGACGTAGGATGCGACCTGTGATCTCCATCTGTGCCATCACCGACACCCGTGCAAGCAATTTCGGGTCAGGCAGAGGATCTGGGGGCGGGCAGCCAATGCACACTGTGACCTGTGGTGCCGATCCATCACTTGGTAGGCTGGCTTTGGACAGGCT